GACTCTCTTTTTTATATATATATATATATATATATATTTATAATGACAAGAGTTTAAAGAGTGTGCCTGATTACCCAGGGATGTGGTAAATGCTTGAAAGTCTTGAAAAAGTCACACGCTTATTTTTACACTGCTTCTCCAGCCTCACTTGTGATCCTTTCCAAAGCAAAGCACAGCCCTTGGCAGTGTGTATTCCTTGGTTTTCGGTAACAAGCAAATGAGCAGAGCAGTTCTTTTGATTGAAATGGAATTGAAGGGTAGGTGTATTCATGGCTCATTTGCACCTGCTGCCTTGGGTAAGGATTGATAAATACCTTTGCATCCTTCCTGCAGATACTGAGTGCAAGGGAGAAGACAACATTTATAATTAATTAATGGAGAAGCACTTAGCAATCACCAAACATGATTTGATAAGGCAAAACAAATTGTCATATTTATTATATCCATGAAGGCCAAGTGATGCCACAGGGAAGAGACGGATTTCATTTTTCCGAGGCACATTGCAGCTGTTTTTGCCCTCACATAGTTTTCTTAGGTATTGATCTGTCACGCTGACATGACTGAATATTGCCTGCCAACCCCCTGATCCCAGCAATTTCCCAGGGTAAGGTCTATCAGTTTTGGAGAAAGAAAACCATTTTTCTGGAAGGCTATTTGATAAAGGTTGTCTGTGTCCTGGTTTGGATGGACAGGCACAAACTTTTGCCTGATGCTGTAATGGGATGACTACAGGGCGAGCGGCAAGCGTTGGACTGCAAATGCAAAGCATCTTGCAGGTATCAATCTTTGTATTGTTCCAATTCATTAAACTCGAGTTACTCATGCAGGCCCTCTTCTAGTCGTTGGAAAGAATAGGACACCTCCAAAGAATGACTCATTTTCTGAACTTTAGATAACCATCCTACGGTGACGTTAACTGCCAGCCAGAGCTCTGGTTTCCATCGGCTTCTTTAGGTTTACACGTCTGACATGCATAAATTCAGGGATGTGAATCCCACCTTTAAAACCTGGACCCTTCCGGGCAGCTGCACAAATATTGTCAGCACGTCTGGGGAGGGCAATAAAGAAGAATGGTTTTGGAAGAGCTAATAGGCAGATATGAGAGGTCTTTACAGAGGCAATAATTTTTAAAGATCCACTTTGTGTGTCTTGCAAGGACAGTCTTGTGTGTCTCCACTTTGTTTTAATCAGAGCGCTTTTGTTACAAAAGTGAACACCTAAAAGCTTTTTTCATGCATCGCAGGTGGTGGTGAAAAATGCTAACACAGGAAAAGATACAGATCACAAAAATTGTCAAAGTGTGTAATTCAGGACATTTAAAAAGCCATCTGATACTCTCACCTTGTATTTTATTTTGCATTATAACCTATCCTGAGGTAATGGGTGCACTATAATTTATTGAGGTTGATGGAGGAAAAGATTGTAGAACATGAAAGATCCTGTCATGAAATCATCTATTTTCCATGGGCAGAATATCTAATATCTTAATACTTTTGGAGCTGCTGGCTGTTTGGTGGCAGATAAGTATGACGCTGTGGAAACCGAGCTTTGCACCTGATATTACAAACCTGAAAACTGAATTTTAATGAACGCTACAGAAGAACATGCACAAAGAAGATACCATCAGTTATTCTGTTTTTCAGGCTCCGATAAACTCACCTCAGGACTTCATTTGAAAAGTTCTGTTTGCTCATGAAAGAAGGAAGGAAAAAACTGTAAAATAACTTTGAAAGAGAGCTGAGGGTACTTTTTCAGCTTCAAAGCATTTTTGTGTGCTCTCCTTATTGATCTGAGACAGCACGCTGCCTCAGTCTGAACAGGCTGATGATGACACCAGCCTTTTTCTTAGCTAAAGTAGCAAAAGATGATTTAAAGGAGGAATTTCAGATCGGGATATAATTACCAAGAAACGCAGCTTGACAGTGGTTTTCATAGTTCCCTTTGCTTGCATGTGAAAAGTATTTTCTCAGTGCTTTCTTCTTCATATTCTAGTTTCTCTTGCTAGGCTGTTGACCTTAACAGCAACGTGTTAGTCGCGTTTGGGGAAGTGTTGCAATCTAATGGGGTATGACAAATAACTGAGAGCAGAGGTGCTATAAAAAAATGAGGTCTGTTGACAACCCGTCTGTCTAACCCAGCCAGCAACTGAAGTGCCTGTCTGTTGGAAATTTAAAGGGGAAAAAAAAAAAGTTTTCAAAATCCTAGTAAGAACTCTAAAATATGTAACATGTTGAGGCAAAAACACGTCTGATTTTTTTTTTTTAATTCAGGTCTGCCAACTCCTTTTGGCTTCAGTGCTAACGTTACATTATTCAACAGTGCAGCATGTACGTGATATCATTAATGTCTTTTTTAGAAAGCAGAAATAAAAGGGCAAAATCAGAACAACATATTATAACTCTGTAGGAAGGACATGCGGTTTTTTTCGCCCAGAAAGTTTTTATTCTATCCAGAAAATCTTCAGAAATGCTTAATTTTAACAAAATCCTGTGTTTTCTCCCTGAAGTTAGCTCCATTGGTTATGCCTTCATTCCTAGCTTGGAGAGCTAGGAGTGTACCACCTCGCACCACCCTTCCACAGAGAGCATCTCCTGGCGACAGCACTGTCCCTCATCAGCCTTCTGGAGGGTTTTGTGCCTTCTACCTTTTTAAGGAGAAAAACTGCTTCTGGAGAAGGGATTTGGCTCCTGATCTCTTGATTGTCATCAGCGTCCCCTTCCTGCTGAGCACATCCCCTGCACAATCATCTCATTTCAAGGGAAAGAAAAAGCTGGTGACAGAAGTTTGGGGGAAGCAGAGAAGGAAGGGGAGCATGTCTCACATGTTCAGACCAGGTGTTTTAATGCAACAGGGAGAGATAAGAGCAAGGAAGAGAGACATTTAATTAGGCATTTCTGCAGTTTTCATCTGAAAAAGGGCACTGTTCTCTGTTAACTCTCATTTGCCTGATTCTTGCACCGATCTGCTGTTCTTTCTGTGCCAATTTCTGGAAAATTACAGACACCACCAGTGCTGAATTTCAGGGACTGGGGTAGCTGAAAGCCACATGTTTAAACAAAATATTTCTGTGCCTTTCCTTCCAAAAGGTGCCTGCACCGGGGTGGTAGGCTCCGCACGCCTTACAGCCGCTCTGCTCTGCCCCTGTTCCTCTGCTCCATCCAGCAGATACCACTCGTGCTTGTTCTACCAGAGAAGGGCAACGAGGCTGGTGAGGGGTCTGGAGAACAAGTCTGCTGAGGAGCGGCTGAGGGAACTGGGGTTGTTTAGCCTGGAGAAAAGGAGGCTGAGGGGAGACCTCATCGCTCTCTACAACTACCTGAAAGGAGGTTGTAGCGAGGTGGGGGTCGGTCTCTTCTCCCAAGTAACAAGCGATAGGATGAGAGGAAACGGCCTCAAGTTGCGCCAGGGGAGGTTTAGATTGGACGTGAGGAAAAATTTCTTCACTGAAAGAGTGGTGAAACATTGGACCAGGCTGCCCAGGGAAGTGGTGGAGTCCCCATCCCTGGAGGTATTTAAAAGACGAGTAGATGAGGCACTTAGGGACATGGTTTAGTGGGCATGGTGGTGTTGGGTTGACGGTTGGACTCGATGATCTTAGAGGTCTTTTCCAACCTCAATGATTCTATGATTCTATGATTCTACCATCTGCTTTTCTCTTTTCCCCAGGTTGCAGGAGGCAATGGGACAACATCACGTGCTGGCCTGAAGCGGAGGTGGGAGAAGTTGTGGTACGGCCGTGCCCAAAGTACTTCAGATTCCTCACCACTTTTCTCGGTAAGCAAAACCAGACGGCTCATCTCATTGAAATGGTTTCATGGCTTCACTGCCTGTAGGGTTTCACATCATTTCGCAGGGGAAGCTTCTTGGTATAATCAGGGGGGGAAACAAACTCTTTGCACAAGAGTTTGTGCAAACAGGTTTGCACAAACAAGGAGGTTTCCAAGCCATACATGAATGCCCAAGCCATTAGAGTATCCTCCCTATCCTTCTTGCAGCACCACGTATTACTCTGGATCATGGGGATGCAAAAATGGCTCCCGGTGAAATCCAATAATATGGATGTTGTGCAGTGAAAATTGAATCAACCTTTGTAATAGTATGTTTGTTGTACAAAATGAACAGTTTAGCACTGTAATTAATTAAGTCTCTGACATAAAACAAACAAGCTGAAACTGGGTGTAATAAAGTATTTTTCTGCTGAAATGACAAATTTGGCCACAGGCCAAGAAATTAACCTGACAAATAATGGGCAGGGAAGGTTAATGGAGAAAGTAGCTTAACTCACTGTTCGGGGTGTTCTGGGAAGCGTTACTTTAAAACTCAGGTCTCAAGGGCCGTGCAGCAACAGGATTCTTTCTTCTGGCAGTTTATAGTCATTATTTACTATTTTTATTATAGTAGCCCTGCAGGCCTGCACAGAGAATTAAGCCTTTTTGCATTGGAAATTATGCACTGAGCTGATAAGTCTCCACTTTTACAGCCTTGCAGTCCAAACACACATGATAGATTATGAATGGGAGTAAGGATACAATATCACCCCTGTTTAACAGACCAGGACACTAAACTTATTAACCAGCACACGCTGATTACATGACTTGCCCAAGGCCACACCAAAAGTCTTTGCAGACCCAGAAGGGAAATTCAAAATCCCCGGAGTCCTATCCTAGTGCCGTAACCTCCCTGTTTCCAAAACTCCCCAACAGTTCATCGCTGCTGCGTCAACACCCAGGGAAAGCAGGCAGAAGCTGCTGTAATATCACATCTTGCAGGACAAGACCCCTGCGCATTGGGCCAGCCATGTGGAATAGTTGCCTGCTGTTGATGCTTTGTGCCCTCTCCTCTCCTGAGCACAACATGCGCTCACTGGGTTTTAGAGACCCGGCAGAGTTAGTTAAACAGGAAGAAGAAAACTCTCTAAGAAGTTTTTCTAATACTTGATCCCACCAGAGCAGAACAATGAGGAAAGTATAGAATATATATTATATTGTGTATATATATGATTATCTCTCTCTCTCTCTCTCTCATTGTGACTGTGTTGGACTTAAGCTAATGAAAGTGGGCTGCCTTTAATTGTGCGCTAGGATAGGCTTATGAGACTTAATAAACTTGCCCATTCAGGGGCATCTACTGGTCTCTGGAATGTCCTAGGACATCTCAGCTGGTCTCCAGGTTCCCCTGCAGAAAGGTGCAGTTCTCCCATAGTTCACGTGTCATGGGATGTCTCAGGTACTTAAGGGTATCTCAAAAAACCTATGCTTAGGCAAGTGAATGGTTCCTATTCTGGGAGAAGTCCAGACTTCACCGAGAGCAGTCAGGGCATCACTTGCTCTCTGTGCACTTATCTCAGTGTGCCGGGACAGGAAAGAGCCTCAAACACAAGCCAACCCATGACCCTTCCCTGCATACCCATGTTGTAGTGTGGCTGCTGGCATTTGTGCAGTTCTGTCAGCAGTGAGCTCGGCAAACGTCATCTAGCCTTGCAGCTGGCAATGTCAGCAGACTTCTAGGGGGAGTTCATATTCCTTTGGATGAGTTTCCTCTGGTTAAATGTAGTTTTCTGCATCTGTCATCCAGGGTTTCCAGCCACTGGAGAGCTGGCTGGTTTGGTCAGTGGTGGCTAGGGCATGATTCAGCTCATCACAGATTAGCCACTTAAAGAGATCAGATGAGCAGCACCGTGAAAATACCTATTTCTCCTCATTTAGAATGGTAAAGCACAGAGTGACTTGCTTTGTTGGACAAAGCGGATTTAGCGCTCTTAATTTCTGCTGTTCCTAATGCAGATGCGTCTGTACGATATAGGTGTCTAGGATCCCATTAACATCAACAGTAATCTAATCAGTGCAGTCAACAGACAACTGTACGTAGGAACCTGAACAGCTCTTTAGATGACATCTGCTGTATTGATAAATTTTCTGTGGTAGTGTCATGTTTTAACCCCAGCCGGCAACTAAGCACCACACACCCACCTGCCCACGCCCCCCGG